GAGATGAGGATGTTGTATCCCAGGGGTGTCAAACTCATGGAGTCATGTGATGTATTGCAACTTCCCCCCCCCCCCCCTTCCCTAAAAAAGGGGGGCATGGCCAGTGCATGATGCACCTGGCCCGTGGGCCACAAGTTTGACACACACACACACACACCCCGGTTGTATCCCATCCAATTATTTTGTTCCTAGACTTTTAGACACCTGTGTTAAAAGTTCAAATCTTACCTAGTGGTCATCTGAGGCCCTAGGAGCCATATGTTCAGCACCTATAATGGAGCAGCTGCTGACATTTAACCAGAGGAAGCTGATTTCAGTGTACTTAGAAAAGCTTGATAAACAACTGCATCCGTACATTGGTGCCCTCTTTGTATCAGCCAGTCTCCCTGGTAGTTAGTTTTGGATTCTTGAATTTAAGAAAAATTGAGCAGAAGACTGACCAAAAAAATACCCTGTATTCTAGAATTGCAGGCATTCTTTTGACTATGCTCCACTACTTCATTTGGAAATAACCCCTTATCTCGAGGGGGAGAAAGTTAAGGGTGAGATGGGAGGGATGGAGACCATTGTGGGGAGGTGTAGGAGAGACTGGAAGAAGCTTCATCAGTTTGCGCTATGCTAAATTGTTCGTGTTCAGCGTAGCAATCTTTTTGGGAGGCTCTTGTCAAACCCCAGAGTGGAAAAATGCACCAAAGGAGGCCCTTAGGCCAAGAAGGGATTTAAAGTTAAGCAGCTTAAATTTGTGCTTTAGCTCCTGCCAAGTGTATCAGAGACTTAGCATCAAAGCTGGTGTGCATTTGCTTCTTCCTCGTGGCAAGATTTTGTTCGTCTTCACAGCACAACCTGCCTCCCCATCCTCCCCGCCTCAAATACATTCACGAGTCAGATGAACTGATCCTGGAGGATGAGCTGCAGCGGATCAAACTTGAGGGAGAGATACCGATTGACAAGCTGGTGACAGGTGGGCCGATGACCCTGTTTTGAGCTTCTTGCCCTTGACATCTTTTGAATGCCTGGCTTTTGTGGAGGCAAACTTTCCACTCGATTACTCACGCCTGCCCCTTTCTGCTCTTCCAGGGACCATCCTTGCCGTCTACGGTTCAGAGAAGGACGATGGCAGATTCCTTGTGGAAGATCACTGCTTTGCAGATATGCCAACCCAGCTGCCTATGATGGGGCCCAACACAGACAAGTGAGGCCCCCTATAACCTTGTCCTAGGACGACCTCTGTTGAAGCAGTCCAGGGCTCTCAGAATGCAGGTAGCCCTCAACTTATGACCACAATTGAGCCCAATCTTTNTAGAACTCACAGTCTCTTGGTGATTGGCCCACCCAGCTGGCTTTCATGGCTAAGGAGGGATTAGAACTCACAGTCTCCTGGTTTCTAATCTAGTGTCATCACCAGTAGACCAAACTGGCTAAGATGTCTAGTTCTGTTCCTTCAGATGGAAGATCACAGCAAATTCATCAATGATCTTAATATATGTGGGGCCTAACAAACAAATGTACCTTCTGAGGTGTGGGTTTCCCAGTTTTGTACTTTATGACCCTTTTATGCTTGCAGGATAAGTTTAAACAGTAGCCAAGCAAGCCCTGTGGAAATTTCTTTTAAAAAAATATGGAATCTTAAAGCAAATTGATAGCTTTAGTTTTTTGAGCCAGGATTCCAACATAAAATCTCCAATGGTAGATTTTTATGCTTCTACCAATTCAACAACATTTTGGTTTATCTCCCAGTTTGAATTGGGAAGTTTTGAGCTTCTCTACCAACCCACTCCAGATTGTGCTATGACTGTCTTTGTACATGTCTCATTCCGTCTTTTGAATTTTGATGTAAACCTACATCTTGAACAGTGCAGCCCTATCCCTTGTTAAAAAGAGATTTAACAAAGGGGATGTTTTTGCCTTATGAAGGGAGGCAGGAGATGGGGAAGAGTCCTTAACTATTATCCTTTAGCTGCTCTTGTATTCATTCAGCATTTCTTTCATTCCCTCTTAATTCATACTTCGCTCTCTCTTTTTTGTACCTTGTCATGCAGGCAAAATATCTCACCAAGAAGACTCAAGCAGCCAGTGTGGAAGCTGTAAAGATGCTGGATGAAATTCTGCTGCAGCTCTGTGTAAGTTTTGCTTTCAAGAAAGGGTGAGGAAGCTGTTGTGTTTTTCCCTCGGCCCATGGTGAGACGTGTTTCCCTGGGCCTAAGGGCTTGCTCACTCTCCCTTCACAGATGTCCATCCCTGTAGATGTAATGCCAGGCGAGTTTGATCCAACCAACTACACGTTGCCTCAGCAGCCCCTGCACCGCTGCATGTTTCCTCTCTCGAATGCCTACACCACCCTGCAGCTAGTCACCAACCCATACCAGGCAAACATTGATGGAGTCAGGTAAAAACCAGCATCTTTGTTCTGTGCAAGTTGTCCTCAACTTACAAGCAAAATTGGGACCAGAATTTCCCTCGCTAAGCAAGGCGGTTCTTAAGAGAGTCTTGCCTGGTTTTTATAATCTTTTCTGCCACAGTTGTGAAGCAAATCACTGCAGTTGGTAGGTGAATCATGCAGTCGTTAAACAAATCCAGGTTCCTCCAGCGATTGCTTGTCAGAGGTCAACCATTTTTTTTCCAGCACTATTGTAACTTTCAGCGGTCATTGAGCGGTTGAATATTAAGTTAGGACTGCCTGTATGTTACTCAAGAGTTACTCTGAAAATATGTAGGATAAAAATAGAATGCATAAAATCCTTTCCTTGTCATTCTACACCAGAGTGCCTTCTTACTCAGGTGTAAAGCGCTTCCCATTTTTCTCCGTGTAGATTTCTGGGAACTTCAGGCCAAAACGTGAGTGATATTTTCAAGTACAGCAGCATGTCTGATTATCTGGAAATTCTGGAATGGACCTTAAGGATTGGGCATCTCAGCCCCACAGCTCCAGACACTCTGGGTAATGTAACTTAAGAGATACATTTGCTAGCTTTTCTTTGTCTTATTTTAGGCTTTGCAGATGGGCTAAACCAACTCTCAGGTTGTTTGATTTGGGGTGTATTATGGAGGATTAAAGTCTTGTTGCTGGGAAGACCTCTCAAATGTGCAGCTCATGCATTTTTGGGTAAAGGAGGAAGGGATAATTCCCTATGGTAGAAGATCCGTGTCTGCTTCCTCCTCTTTGTGTTCATTTCTGTAATATATCTTAAATATGTGATTATGATTAAATACCTGATTGCTCTATCATAAAAGAGTGTCCATAAAGCCAGTGAGAATGCAATGCAGAAGCATAAAACTCTGGGGTCGCAAATGGAGAATTCAGTACCTACATTTTCAACAATATCTCCTAGGGATGTAAAGTAGACTATTGTCTGTAGGTAGAGTATTCTCTGCACAGGATAAAGCACCTGCACTTTGTCAGGTGCTTTATCCTGTGGAGCAGGTGTTAGATTCCTGCCCAGAACTGAAGCCTGTGTATTCCAATAGAACTGTGGGAGAGCGAGGGAAAAGGAAGACTGGATATATGATTGCCAAGAAAGTAAGACTTGATCCCTTGAGTGACTGTGGAAGGAAAGAAAGCACAGGGCTGCGTGCATATATGCTGCATTTGGATTCAACACGAAGGGAGGGAGGGAGGTGCCAGAAAAATCACGGGGCAGAAACTCCATGGAGAGAAGGAGCAGCAGCAGAGTGAGGTGCACCATCTGAACCCTACATATCCTTTCAAACTCCCAAGGGTTTTGGCCCAAACCCAAATCAGCCTAAACGATCTGTGTTTTTATGGCGAGGTCACAGCCTGCCTGGAACTATCGGTCTTCTGAGGCATGTTGTGTTGGTTCCATGCAAGAAGCTGATCACATGTTTTGCCTTAAGGCTGCCTGCTGGTGGGCCATTTATTTAAAGCCCCTGATCTGCCTTGTCTTTCAGGCTGCTATCCATTTTACAAGACAGACCCCTTCATCTTCAGCGACTGCCCTCATATCTATTTCTGCGGCAGTGCGCCCTCCTTCAAATCCAAGGAAGTCAAAGGTAAGCCAGTATTGGCAGCTGCTTGAAATGTTTGCAAACAACATCCAGATGGAGGATAATATACGTTGCTGCTATTCAATGTAGATCTTAAATCTCTCCAATACATTGGATAGTTCATTGTTTTTGTAAGTACCGAGACCCTTTCTCAACTCCCCAAGTTGTGGTTTTACAAGTTGGCTTATTTTTATTAGATATTTTTGTTCTTAGCAGATCCCACAACAGCTACATTAGCCTAAAGCCCTGGAGTCTGTGTTATACCTAAGAGCTTTGTCCATCCAGCCCACCACCACCACCTGTCTCAAGTGCTGCTTTTGCCAAATAAAAATTGCTCTAGGCCAGGGGTGTGAAACTCAAGGCCCAGGGGCCAGATCTGGCCCGCAGGGTGGTTATATCTGGCCCACAGGACTGTCCTGGGAACAGCGAAGTACTGGCCCCCAGTGCCTCTGCCAGAGACAACGGAGCTTGGGAGCCAGTTTTCGCTGGCAGAGTGCTCAGGCCACCACAGGCGCCCCCGACACGAATGATGTTGCTTTGGCCACATCCACCCTGAGGTCAAACACAACCCTGATGTGGCCCTCGTTTTTTCTACCTAGAGCAGGGGTGTCAAACTCAATCAGGTTTGACACCCCTGCTCTAGGTAGAAAAAAATGTCAGTTTCCTGAATTGCAAGTTGTTTGCTAGAATCTTTTATGTCTTTCCATCCCTTAATCCTTCATCCTTTCTGATGAGAGCAAGGCTTCAACTTGGGAACTTCTCTGTACAAATCACACACTCTGCCACGGTGGTAGGGCAGGGAACGGGCAATATGAGTACAGTTTGCAAACACGGGTGAATTTGGCATCTCTTGGTGGCTCTAAAAGTCAGTGGTGAGAGAGGCAAATGTTAATACAAACCCTGATAAAGATTAGGAAAACGTGCTTAAAAAATAACACCAATCGTGTTTTCCCCAACTTGGGAAGAGGGGGATAAAAGGAAGATTCTGACCCTTTCCTCATCCTTGCCTGTCCCTTCCAAAGTTCTGATAGTTGTCTTCACTTGTCTGCCTTCTTCCTTTGCAGGGGAAGATGGCCAGAAAGTCTTGTTGGTGACACTTCCTGATTTCAGCTCAACAAAGACTGCTTGCTTGATCAATTTGTGTGATCTCACTTGTCAGCCGGTTACCTTCTCGGCCTTTGGTGATGATGATGATGAAGAAGAAGAGACAGTGATGGAGACTGCTGAGTGAGAGACAGGGGCTTAGTTCTCCTTCCTGGAACTTGGGACTCATCCCTGTTTTTTTTACTGTTGAGTTTGACCTTTGATTTGTTAGATAGAAATACAATAAAATATTCCGGTTTCCCTCACATGTGTTTGGTCTTCATGACCAAGAATAAGAGGAATGTCTTGTATAATTCATTTTATTCAATGAATACAACTGTTGGAAAACCGAAAAGGCTCAAGGTAACCCTGGACTGCCTCCTGGGCAGCAGCTGCTTCAAACTCATCCATGAATTTAGCAAAGCTCAATCTTCCTTCTCGACTGTTGCAATCAAGGCAACAGCTTTCCTTGATGTTAGGAAGACCACAACAAAGTGATACTGACTTTGTAACTGGGAGACAATTAGGCTGTACCAGCTCCTCACTTTGGAAAATACCCAGAATCCTATGGGATTCAAGCATGACAAAAGTGACAGAAAGGAAGCCATTTATGCCTTGGAAACAAGCTGGTTGGCATTTTGAGGTCAAAAATAGATATATTATTTTTTTTCAAATCAATTTTCAACTTAATTTTTGTTCTGGTTCTAGTTATGTCTCTTATTCTATTCTTTAAGAGGTCTTTTACTTCTTAAATAGAACTGGAAAGAAATTTGAGATTTTCATACAGCAGATCCCTTTTGTAAAATATTACAACTGCAAATAAACAGTCATGGCAACACTTTGATAAAACTGCTGGGTTGTGCCCCAAATGTGTGTCAGTACTTGATGGGCTCCATTATTTCAGTGAGTTTACATGGGGAAGCAACAGCTGTGGGCCTCTGGATAAAGGCTAGTCTGCTTCTCCCCATTGCAAGAATCTTACACTGTGCTATAAAGCAGCGGCCCCCAACCTTTTGGGCTCCAGGGACTGGTTTCATGGAGAAAGATGTTTCCATGGACCAGAGGGGGTGTGGTTTTGCATACTGCCTGCATCCTGTGGATGGGGCTTCGCTTGTTTGTGCTGCCCAGTTGCTGGCATGCTGAGGACCAGTGCCAGACCATGGACGGGGTTGGGGACCCCTGCTGTAAAGAACATAAAGTAGAATGGAGTTTTAAAAAAAGTTAACATACCAAGGAATGTTAAAGTTTCGGCCAGGTTATGTTCTTAGCTTGTTCCCTATTCTATAGTCAGCCTGAGATGTACAATTTGTTCACCTCAACTTTCCATTCAGCAGGGATTTAGTGTTCCAACCAACCCCAGAAAGAAAGCTGAGCCTTTATATCCAAAGAAGAAAGAGAGAAAGTTGTTTGTTGTGTGTGTTTGAAAAATAAATGATGCAAACGTGACTGCTCTTAGAGCCTGCTTAAAGCAAGGGGTTCCTGGTGGATCCTAAAACTAGGAGAACATGCCTCCACATACTACAGTGAATAGATACCACTACCTGGTCCAGAAGAGGCGGAGTAGGCTTTAGGAATGTCTTTAGAGCGTCCCTGGCCTGCAGTCCTCACAAACCTGACAGGCTGATCCTAATCGCCAAAATTCACTGTGTACGTCTCTGCTGTGGTCATGGGGAAGGCAGTGCCAGTCATCTCCACCTCGGTTACTTCCTCTGTTACTGTCTCCCATTCCGTCACCGTCTCAGTGTAGACATCAGCATCCCAAGAAGTGGCGGATTCTGCTATGGGAGGCTCTTGACTCCACGGTGGGAGCGTGGTGCTGCTGAACCAGAAGGGAAAGGAAGAACTTGGAGGAAGGGTGGTGGGAGTGCTTGTGCTGGCTTTCCGCAGCCGTTCGAGCATCTTCTGGCGCAAGCGAGCTCTCTGGCGCATCCTCATCCTCCAGCGCATGCGCTCCTTAGGTGTCATGGGCCGTCCCAGCATGGGCCTCCCAAGAGGGTGGTTGCCGTTCATGGCTATGATCTCTCGGATGCGTTTCCAGTTGGACCTTGACAAGATGAAGTTGCACTGGGTGGCTCCGATGTCATAAAAGACGCTGCAGGTTTTGGCACTCGGGTTGTAGCCTTCGGCCTTGGCTATAACACGGTATTCGCCAGGATTCAGGATGCGCCAGTAATCTCCTCCACTTGCTGGAACACAAGAGAGCAATATCTGATGAGCCACGGTGGCACAATAGTTAGACTGCAGTATCAGGATAATTCTGCCTATGACATCCTGCCTACTGTCAGCAGTTTGGCAGTTTGAGTTGCACCAACCCAAAGTTGACTTGGCCTTCCATCCTTCTGAGGTCGGTAAAATGACCCAGAATATTGGGGGGAATATGCTGACTTTGTTAAAATGCTTAGGACTGTAAAGCATTGTGAAGTGGTATATAAGTCTAAGTGCTATTGCTATGATGCTGAAACTGATTGCAGTTAAGGAAATGTGTTCCAGTATTTGAAGAGAGAGGTCAGCCTATTTTCCAAAGCACCAGAAGACAAGAGAAGAAACAAGGGAAACTAAAGAATGAAAGAAATAAACTAGAACTAAGGAAGATTTTTTTAAACTATCAATGGTACAGTTTGCTCCATCCCTGGAGGCTTTTTGTCTGAAATGGTATAAGGCAGTGGTTCTCAACCTTCCCAATGCCGCGACCCTTTAATACAGTTCCTCATGTGGTGACCCCCAACCATAAAATTGGTGTCTCGGTTCCTAAGACCATCGAAAATATGTGTTTTCCGATGGTCTTAGGCAGTGTTTTTCAACCACTGTGCCACGGCACACTAGTGTGCC